TAAACTGTTCAACAAACACTGGCTCAAAGACTCAGAGTAAGAAAAGGACTTAGACAAATGCATACCAATGAGTTAGAAGAGTGGGAAGAACAGAGCAAAAGGCAGACTGAGGTCAGTTCAGACCCATGTATGTGGGTCTGCATTTTTTTGTAAAGGCACTGGTAAGTCTTTGAAGAGTTTTAAGCAAGAGTTTAAGTGAGTTATCAACCCATATTGTAAGAAACTGGACAGCTCTTGTGGCAACAACTAATTTGCGAGAGAACAAGTGGATTTTTGATGGTCAATTAGGAAGCTGTTACATAGTCTAATGTGTTAATTATGACCTTATAATTTCTAGTGAAGGTTGAGAGAAATAAACAGCAAACATATAATTTGGGAACAGAGTTGATAAGGTAAGCACTTTTAGAGTCTACAGTAAAGCTAAGCTAATAATGGGAACCCACAGAAGTTAGTCAGTACTACAGTGTGAGAAACAAGGGTTCTGTGGAGACATAAGGAAAGGGGTAGTGAAAGGGTCCCCAGAGAACTGATAATCTTCCATGAGACCCTGGGAGGAAGTTCAATCCCCGCCTGCCCCGGAGGTGACCGCATGGCTCAGCAGACCTCTCCTGACCCGCCCGCTGCTCCCCTCAGCAGTGTACTTCATTGATCTGCCTGTTCTGCTCCCCACTCTGTCCCTGGTGAATCCTCTTACCCTCCGCATCTCTGGCCTGTACCCCAGTTCTGTGTGAATGAATAAATAAATCTTTAAAAAAAAAAGTTTTAAAGGAAGAGGGGAACAATGCATCCTCTTCCTGCTACTTTATGGCACACTATACTATACATCTTTGTGATAGCTTTTATATATATGGATGTTTAACTATGACTTCAAAGGATCAGGGTCTGGGAAAGGATTAGCTGTTAGCAAAGGATTTAGGAGTCCTAGGGAAGGAATAAATTGTGTTAGCAGAGTCCTCAGTGATAGTCTAAAGAAAAGCTAATGGCTAACTTAAGGTTAGCAGAGAGTAGCTAGTGTTTGTTTTAGGCAAAGGTTAATTAAGAATAGCAAAGAGTAGTTAGTGATTGTTTTAGGAAAAGACTAAATCAAGAGGAAGTCACATAGTTATGCATTAAACAAAACCTGTGTTGATAATGTTAGGAAATTGTCCATGGGTCCTTATGCCCTGGGAGTTATCTAAGATTCACTTTTTGTCAAAAGACCAAGGGAACTTTCCAGGAGTCTTGATACTCTGGGGTCTTATCTCTCCAGGAGCTTGCCTTTTGTCTTCAGTCAAAGGAACTTCCTGCCCAGGAGCAGCTCAGCTTGTACTTTGCCCAGGCCAAGTAGCCAATTTAGAGCTAAGACAATCCAGTTACAAACTGATGTTGCTACAATATTTTTTTGATATTATGATTATACAAAAAAGGGAGGTCATAACATAAGTTAGCAGTGGGAATTCTGATTTTTCAGAGCTTTTCCCGATCTATCCGGAATCTGTCAGACGATAGCCATTGCATAGCTTGTGTCAGTCCTCGACATCAGGTATCAGGTACCCTGAATATGTTCAGGAAATTAAAAGAGGGACAATATGATAAACTCTGGGGCAAAGGGAAGAAAGTCATGAAAATGGAAGGAGATGTAGGGGCCGATCAACGCCACTCCTCTGTTAACATTTTCAGAAGCACCATTTATTAAAAATAGAAGAAAACTAGAACCAGAAGATCTGGGTTCCTGTTACAACTTGCTTGCCCTGTGACTAGTGCAAATGACTTTTCATTTTCCATGGCTTCCTCATGTGTAAAATAAAGGAACCAGATCAGTGAATACTTTATAGTAATATATTTCTGTAATAATATGAATATATTTGGTGAATAATTCTGCAATAAGCTCATAAAGTCAATAACCTCTTCCTTCCAAATGAATTATAGACAAATAAAACTTAAAATTTCAACTGGTTCATGGAATATTTAAACACACTACTAGGATACTAAATGAGATAATTTCAAAGTTCTTTTCAGCTCTAATTACTTTGGTAATTTTTTGAAAAGATTTATTTATTTATGCATACAGAACTGGGGTACAGGCCAGAGGCACAGGGGCAGTGAGAGGATTCACCAGAGACAGAGTGAGGACCAGAACAGACTGACTGGTGAAGTACACTGCTGAGGGCAGCAGCGGGGGTGTCAGGAGAGGTCTGCCACCATGTGGGTTACCTCAGGGGTGGGGATCAAGCTCATGCAGAAGTGGCTTTAGCTTCTTAGTGCTGTGCTTTAACCCTCTGCGCCACAAGGGAGGGACCTATTTAGTATGATTCTAAATAATATAAATTACATCTAGGTCTGTTCAAATAGACATTTACTAATATATTATAATAGAAAATACCACCACTAACATTATACTTCAATAGTAATAAAGATAGACCAATAGATATAGATATATTAGATTGGACAGACAGACAAAGAGAGGTAGGTAAAAAATGAGAGAGAGGAGGGAGCTAACTAACCCTATGCATAAAGTTAAGTGAAACTATGTTAGATGTACCACCCTAACAAATTAACATTTTGTCCTGACCAAACAGAGAAAGCAAATCAGCCCAAGACTTTATCATTAGGAATCAGCAGAACACAAAGGCAGAATTACTCTCGTGTCCAGTCAAAGTCCAGAAATCAGCCCAACCAAGCCACTTTGTAGCAGAGACCACCATGTGAACTGAAGATGCTGTGTTCAATTAAACCACACTCCTCCTCCAAACATTTTGATAACATCTCAGGAGGAATAAACTAGAAAGAGGAAGAACGCTAAGGTACTAAGTTGCTTTCTGAAAATAATGACCATTTACTTAAAGGGGCCATTTGATATTATGCACAGGAGTGAGAATAAATATGTAAGTAGACATACTTAAATGTCAGCTATTTTTCCCTACTGTTCACCATGATAACACTTTTGAGGAAAATTAAATTGATATTGAAAATTGCAGGAACTGAATTTTACTCACACATTTGACTTATATAAGTAAATCTTGTCTCTGTTACAAATTGCTAAGATAAACTGAACGGAAATAGAACTCTGACTTGGGTCTTCTGGTTCCAAAACTCCTTCCATTAAAATACACTCTCTTTCGGGCCCTCCCTGGTGGCGCAGCGGGTTAAAGCACAGCACTGAGAAGCTAAAGCCACTTCCACATGAGTTCGATTCCCGCCTGCCCCGGA